GCTGGTGTCCCCGTCCCTGTGAGCGCGGGTGCCGCCAGTTGCTTTCCAAGTTGGCAGCGTGTTTTGGGGCTGCGGGGTGACCGTGCTGTGGCGAAGCCCCCTGTCATCGGGCCCACGTGCTGCCCCAGAGCGCTGCCAGCCCAGCTCCGGCTTCCCGCTGGGGTCTGAGCTCCAAGAGGGACCCTCGGAGGAGTCCTTGTGGGATGGAACCTCTCCCCCCTCCTCTCCCGATGGCCCATGGACCCGGGTGCCAGCGCAAACGGAGTGGAGAGCTATTTGGGGATGGGTCTGAGCACAGGTCAGCAGCAAAGCGGCTCCTCCAACTGTGGATCTGGGTGAAATAAAGAGCGTGGCGGCTTCCAGAGCGGCAACGTCTCCATCCGAGGTGCTTTGCTGTCTTTAGGGGCCATTGAATATCCTGAGGCACAGCTGATGGTGGGAAGGAGCAGGGGGAATTGCTGCCAGCAGCGCCCTGGAACCCAAGGATGGGGCACGGCTTTCCAGCTGCTTCCCCCAAGCAGCGGCAACGAACCTCGGCGCTGCCCCGTGGGCGACTGTCTTCTCCTGGGGCTCTCCCAGGGATACTCAAGGGCGAACTGGGGGTGGAGAGGATGGACATGGCCAACACTCACGCCATGGCCATCCTCAGCACCTCTCGCAACGAGCGACATGTCTCCGTGCTCTCAGCTGCAAAGCTGTGTCCTTCCTTAAAATGTGAAAACAGTAAACCCGTTTGGTTTCTCATCTGCTCCTGGTGATCCCTAAGCACGGGTTTATTGGATGTTTTCCGAAAGGTCTCGTGTCCTAATGAGTGTTGTACATACAGCCATGTCGGCTCAACCCCCGCCTGCTGCAGCAGTTGGAGTTCACAGTGATGCCGTGCTATAATATTAATATTTATTGTTTGCATGTGAGGCGTTAGACAAACTGTTTTGTCATTAAAAAGACAAACTTCCCCCGGCTTCACCGCGCGGCTGTTTGCTTCTCACCAGCAAGGTCAAAGATGGAGACACCCTCATGGGCAACACAGGTTGTAGCTGCCAGCGCATCTCCCACCCAGGCTTGCCCGTGTTTCCCACTGGTGGGGCATCTCAAGGTAGTTCTCTTCTCCCTCAGAAACACAAACCCTGCACTAAGGGAGCTCTCTGCAGTGAGCTGGGACAGGCTTTCCCTGCCTGTCGCCGAGAGGATTGAAGTCTTGGTGCTACGGGCCGATCAAGCATCTGGGCTGCCTTGCCATAAAGCTCATGTTTATTTTGCAGGGCTGTTTTCTGGCTCCGCCGCCGTTCTCTGTGCCCCTGCCAGCGCTCACCTGCATTCAGCCACTGCACGATAGCAGACAATTCGGGGGCATTGCTTGTAGGGTAATAGATGGATCTGAAGATTTGGGTTTATTGCTTTCGCGATTACAGTCAAACCTTTTTAATATTGCTCCTGGTTTACGGTACTTTCTCTCCTATTACCCACAGCCCCACAGCCCTGGCTGTGCTGCAAGTTCCTGGGGGAGCATCTTGGGGTCCTGTCAGCCCCCCCATGGCCCCAAGCATCCCCACCATGGGGCTCACTGGGGCCGGGGTGGCCCCCTGCCCAGGAAAAGCCCTGCGGGCTGGAGACCTCTCCAGGGCTATTCAGGATTCCCAGCGTCTCTGCACGGGGAAGGCAGCGCCCGCCCTCGGCTGTAATTGAAATAGATGGAATCAGGACAGATCAACGTCTAATTCCTCGCCTGGGTGAGTGGAGACATATGTTTAATTTTCTGGTAATTCATGCTGGGAGCGCCGGCTTGTTCCTCTGCGCACACGTATGGATCGCTGCTGCCAGGAGGTTGTTTCACTTCATATACGTAGCTCTCCATAAGAGCTTCTCCCCGGGGCTGCCATCCCCAACATCAGTGATGGGAGAAGAAATAAAAGCCGTTTCCCACACGCCTTCCACAAAGGCAGAGTTCCCAACACTCTGCACATCCAGAGGAAATAGCGGGGATGCTCAAAGCGCAGGGGTGTGGGTGGGCACCGGTGATTCGAGGGCTGAGCTGGGAGAAGACAGGGATGGAAACAGCGGCAGCTCGCTGCTGGGCACCTCCCCAAATGGGACCACACAGGGAAGGGATCCTGGGCTTTTCAGGCCACTCCAGAAAGTCTTGTTTGCTGGAAGATGCTTTTCCCTAACGCCCCGTGTTATTGCAGGGATGGACACCCCTGGGGTGTCCAGCTGAATCTCGATTCCCGCTGGCATCAGCAAGGCAGGCTCGGGAAGTGTGAGGGTGCCCAGGCAACATGGATGGTTATGGCCCCAGAGCCCCAAAGAGTGGGAAACAGCACGAGCAAAATGGAGGAGGAAAAGGGATTTGAAATTATCTCCCCAAAGACTTCCTCTAAATGAAGATTGCTATTTTCCCCCAGAGCGGTCCCCGTTTCAGACCATCTATACCTTGTGCAAGCCACACACTCTCCCGTCCAGAGGTGTCCACTGGAAAAGGTCTTGTGTTGGCTACAAAACAAGAGCGTTTCTCATTTTGGGGGTGTATTTTGCTCTAAAGCACCTCTAAGAGTGACGGATTTTGTGTGTCACTTCTCAGCTTCACCATGGGTTTCATGAAGGTTCTTCTTAGGCAGGCAGTGGGTGACAGCTTTGGGCCCTGCTTGGCCCTGGTTTTTCCTTGCACCTTCACTACCACATAAATTAAAGCGCATCGGTTTTACACCAGAAACCTCTCTTTCATGCATGGCCATGGTCAAAACACCATGACTTTTGGGGACGTTGCCCTTGATGTTGACTTGTAAGCTTGCCATCATGGTAGGAAGGCAAAGGAGAGCATCAGCTATTCAATCTATTGTTTGCATATGGCTTCTTGGGGTTTTTTTGCCATCGGCATGGTCCAAGCAACATGGTTTCTGTCTTGCTGGGACATGGGTAAAACCAAAGACGGAGTTTTCTTGCAGTTGAAGTACCTCATTTCCAACTTGAGCTTTCACATTATAGACAAGAAAGTTGCATGCCACCTCACTGGTGGCACCCATTGGGTGTTGGTCAACCGGGTTTAGTTAGCTCTGGTGTCTGAGGCCACCAAAAATCACTCCCTATTCCCTCAGAGCTGTGGGTTTCACTCCACGTAGGGTGTCTGTGCACATAGGTACAGGTATATGGCTCTCTACACATCTAAGTGGGCACTTATTCACAGAGCTAAAGCTTCTCATTGTTATTAATGGGCTTCACATCTCTCAGTGAGCTCCCATTTTATGAAGGTAGGAAGTAGATTAGGCAATTTACCCAAAGGGATGTGGGGAAAATGGGAAATGAAACCATACCTCTGGCGTCACGGATACTTTTAGGGCCACCTTGTTACTGTGGCTAAGGAAGGTCTGGTTTAACTTACCAGGACAGGAGTCTGAGCTGATGGAACAGCTGGCCAGGAAAATGTTTGAGCCACCTCTGGAAACTGTGTCTAAAGCTGTATGCAGAATTCAACTGAATTGCTCTTTTCAAGTTTAGTTCACCAGCTCAGCTGGAAAAGAAACAAACTTCTACCATTAACAACACTACTTGCTGTTGAGCAAAAAGCTTTTGGAGGCTTATTACTTTGAATATTTAGGTACATTCTGATGTTAAAAGGAATTAGAACGCTCCAAATATGCTACAATATAACATTACAGCCTCTTCAGCATCTTTCCTGCATTATTTTGGCTGAGTGATGGTAATTGGGTGAATTTGTCAGGAATTCACAAATGGCTTCACTGGCTCTCAACCTGCAAGGAGAGAATTTGATTGAAAATTTCTCCTGGCTGTGTTTGAGGCAGCGACCACTGGGGACGGAGGCTTGTTTCTCATGTTCTTGGTGAGGCCGGTCTCTGGCTGCACAGAAGCAGCAGGGAGTGCTGAACTCGGGTCTTTTTAACCAAGTTAAGTAAGGATGGGTGTAAAAATACCTAACGCCAGCTTGAGCATTTATCCTTCCACTTCCCCGAGGTCTGACGGCTGGTTGGAGGCAACATATAATGCAACCTGGCTCTCTTTCTCCATCCTGCTTGGAGCTGGGTGTGACCCTCAAAGAGGGACCGGAGTGAGGAGGGTCCTCATCCCCCCTGACAAGACAGTGGTGTACAAAGTGATGCCCCAACCTCCCAGCTGGATGGGAAATCCTCCCACCCCAGCCAGTGGCTGTTAATTAACCTTTGGAAGTGGGGCAAGACCCAAACTTTGTTGTCTGGGGTTACGGAATGATGGAATGGTTTGGGTTGGAAGGGACCTTAAATCTAGTCCCACCCCCCTGCCCCGGGCAGGGCCCCCTTCCCCCAGCCCAGGGGGCTCCCAGCCCCGTCCAACCTGGCCTTGAACCCTTCCAGGGAGGGGGCAGCCACAGCTGCTCTGGGCACCCTGGGCCAGCGCCTCACCCCCCGCACAGGGAACAATTTCTGCCTTAGATCTCACCTAAATCTGCCCTCTGCCAGTTTAAAACCATCACCCCTCATCCTACCCCCACCCCCTGACCCAGAGTCCCTCCCCACCTTCCCTGTCCCCCCTTTAAGCCCTGGGAGGCCGCTCGAAGGGCTCCCCGGAGCCTTCTCTTCTCCAGGCTGAACCCCCCCAACTCTCTCAGCCCGGCCTCCCAGGGGAGCTGCTCCAGCCCCCCCAGCATCTTCGTGGCAGTAAGGCTGAGGCCAAACTCATTTGTCCCTCACTTCTTTTTTCACATCCCATTTTGTTGCGTGGCTCCTTTTCCCCCGCCACCCCCTCTCCAATCTTTTTCACTCTCTTCGCTCCGTGGGTGCCCGGCGGCGGGAGGTGCGTGGCCGTGGCGAGGCGGCGGGGGGGAGCCCCGCGGGGCAGCCCGTGGGCGGCGGGGCGGGCCGGGGGGGGGGTGGGTGGGTGGGTGGGGTGGGAGGCGATGCGGTGGTGCCGCGTGGGTTTGCGGGTGGGATTTTCCTCCCGCCTGTGCCCACTAGGTGGCTGCGTGCGGGGAGAGCCCGGAGCGGGGAGCGGCGGGAGGAGAGGGGGGGAAAAAAAAAAAAAAAAAAAAAAAAAAAATAATAAAACAAGGGGAAAAAAAAAAAAATAAATAAAACCCACCAAGCTGCTGAAATTTAAGCAGGGGAGGGAGCGGCAGCGAGGCAGTGCCGGGGTCGCCTCTCGCCGCCGCAGCAGCCAGCGGGGCTGCCGGCGCCAGGCCGAGCCCGGGGACCCCGCGCAGCGCAGCGCGGCCGCCCCGCGTCCCTCCGCGGCGGCGGCAGGAGGCGCCGGCCCGGCCCGGCCCGGTGAGTGTCCTCAGCACCGCGGACAGCTCCGCGCTCCGGGATCCGCGCTCCGGGCTCTGAGCTCCGCGCTCCGGTGATCCGCGTTCCGCGCTTCGGGCTCCCGGGTCGGGGCTCCGCGTTCCGCGTTCTGGGCTCCCGGGTGGGGGCTCCGCGTTCCGCGCTTCGGGCTCCCGGGTGGGGGCTCCGCGTTCCGCGCTTCGGGATCCCGGGTCGGGGCTCCGCTTTCCGCGCTCTGAGCTCCCGGCTCCGCGCTCTGAGCTCCCGGCTCCGCTCTCTGAGCTCCCGGCTCCGCTCTCTGAGCTCCCGGCTCCGCGCTCTGAGCTCCGGACTCCGCGCTCCGGGCTCTGAGTTCCGCGCTCCGGGTTCTGAGCTCCGCGCCCCGCTCTCCGCGCTTTGCCTTTCCGCGCTCCGGTCTCTGAGCTCCGCGCCCCGCGCTCTGCATTTCCGCGCCCCGGGCTCTCAGCTCCGCGCTCCGCATTTCCGCGCTCCCTCTTCTCCGCCCCTCCAGGCTCCGCGCTCCGCGGGTGGCCGCGCTCCGCTCCCCCGCGCGTCCCGGCCCCGCGGGCGGCCGCGCCCGCCCCGGCCCCCGGCCGTCTGTGCTCCGGGTGCTTGTGCGCGGCCCCCTCTCTCCACCCCCGCGGCCGCGCAGCCAGGCGCGGAGTTGGGCGCGGAGGGAAGGGACCCGCGGTTCCCCCCCCCCCCCCCCCCCCCCGCCGCGGTGCTGCGTCTCCCCGGAGCGGCCTCGGGGGGCTGTGCAGGGAAGTGTGTGGTGGGGTTGTTTTATTTGGGGCGGGGGGAGCAAAGGCTGCGTGCACTTTCTGCAAGTTCCTTTTGTTGCTGGAATGAGGTTCAAGAAATTTGGCTCTTGGCACCTGCGTCATACGGAGAGAGGAGACAGTTCGGGGAGGGGAGGCGGTTTCTTGCTGCATACTCGCAGGCAGTGCTTGAGGGGGGGTTGGGGGGTGGGGGGGGGGTGTCTCATTCACACCCTCTCCCCATCAAGCCCGTGCTTCATCTCGCCTTCTCACCCCGTCCCCTCCATCCTCCTCCTCCCGGCTCCCCTCTGCCAAGCGCTGGGCGCAGCCGCGTTCCCCGCAGGCCCGCGCTGGGGAGCAGCTTCCAGCCCTAACTCCAGGCTGGAAACAACCCTGCGCAGCCTCTTCCCTCCCGCTCCCGGCTGCCGCCTGCCCGCGGATGCCGCTGGTGGATGCGAAGACACACACACACACACACACACACACACACACACACACACCCCAGGCTCCCTGCTGAGCCTTAACCCCAGCTTTCTGCTTTCAATTCACCAAAGTTTGAACGGGATTACTGCCTCCTCTCCTGCCCGCTCAGGAATACCTTACGGGCAGCGACTGGTGCTTTTCTCTAGGAGAGGTTGACCCCTGGAAGGGGCCATCTGAGAGCTTTGGGCTGAAAGATGCTCCCTGAGCCTGCGCTGAGCTGCGATTTGGAAAGCTGGGGAGCGGAGCGCTCGTTTGGCCAGGTCACTGCTGAGCCGAGCATCGGCCGAGCAGCTGGAGGAAGGGGCCGTGAGGGTGTCTCTGAGGCACGTGTTAATTAGACGTGCTTCGTTAGCTGTTACCTGTTACAGCTTCTGGCAGAACCCATCTGTCCGGAGAGGAGGAGGCTGAGCCCGGTGCTGGGATGCTTCTTGGAGAGGCAAAGGGTTTGCCAAGGCGCTGCGGAGCCAAGGGGGGAGAGAAGCATCCCGGTATCCTGCCCTCCTGGCTGGAAATGGGGAACGCCTCGCTGCTGTAAGCTCGCTTCTCTTCCTTGAGACCCCTCTTGCCTTGGGGGTCTCAAGGAAGGGCCAGTTTTGGGGGGAGTCACTTTCTGCCAGCCACATCCCCGTGGGCCGGGTGTCTGCAGGCAGGGGAACTGAGGCGCGGGGAACGGGCAGGGGGGAGGAGGCCGGGCCGGCAGGCAGAGGGGTCACAGGAGGATTTTCCTGCCGCTTTGGTGGAGCATGAGCCCGGCTGTTGATGTGACTCTGAGGTCTGTGCTCACAGCGATGGGGTGCGAACCCCCCAGGACAGGGTGCTGGACAGGGAGGCTCGGTGGGAGAGAGGGGCCATGGAGCATCGCCGGCCCCGCTAGCCTGCTGGGAGGAGCAGGTCCCCCCCGGGGTACCTGGGCAGCAAGAGGTGGTGACTCCTTGGCTGCTGGGGCTTTTACTGGGGGCACAGGACAGAGCTGGGCCCCGTGGTGGTATGGATCCGTGTGCAGATCCATACTGCCAGGACTGGAAGATACAGTGCTGGTTGCCAGGGCTGATCGTGCTGGTGCTGTATTTGGGGAGAGGAGGGGGATTTGGCTGTAAATCCTGCCAAACCAAGGCTGAGGAGAAGGTCTGTTCTGGGCTGAGGTTGGGGTTTCCTCTGGGCTCAGCTCCTGGTGAGTGGAGGTGGCTCTGTGGGCAGGAACGGGCTGGGTTCCCCTTGTCTGCAGGGCTGCTCATGGGGTACAGCAGGGCTCAAGCCACCCACCCTGGGGAACTCTCTGCCCGGCCCTGCACCCCAAACCCACTCACAGGGACTCAGCAGGTGGCTTGGAGCATCAGTAGGGTGAGGACAGAAGGCTGCGGGGATGGTTTGTCACTGCAGGGTAGCAGCCATGGTGGGGGGACACACGGAGCTCTTGCTGGTGCCCCGACAGGGATGCTCCAGGCTCCCCAGTCCCCCTCAGATCAGCTCAAGCACCATGTCAGGAGGCAGAAATAATTCCCAGGGGAGAACACAACCACATCTCTGGCTGCCCACAGCTCGGGGCTGGGGGGGGGGGACAGGAACCCAAACCTGCTGGGCTGGGGTAGGCCGGGAGCTGCGGCTCCTGCCCCGGGCACAGGGTGTCTCTGGGGCTCCCAGCCCTCTCCCTGCTCCCCTTCGTCTTGCCAGAGCACGTAGCGAATGCAATAAAAGCCGAGAAAAATGCTAATTAGCGAGTGCAAGCGTGCAGGGTGTAAAGTAGATGTTTAACCATATTATATAAACAAACATAAAGGAGCCATAAATTAGGCGGGGGAAGAAGTCGATCCATCGACGGAACTGCCCAAGCAGAAGAGATAGAGGCAGCGTGCGGCAGCTGGGGGACAGGGACACGACACAGCCATCGCCTGTAATCCTCCCTCCTTTTAATTGCGCCTGTAATGAGAAACAAAATGTCAATGTTGTTAGATGCTGCTTCTCCCCGTAGGATGGTCCCAGCTGGGGTAGCAGCACCCTACGGCCAGGCCAGAGTGAAAACCCCAGCGAGGGCAAAGCCTGAGACCTCTTGGATCCTGCCAGCTCTCTGGAACTGGTCTCTAAACATGCCCAGTTTGCTGGCTGGAGCTACTACTGGTGGCTGCTAAGTTTGATGGCATGAAGTGCTTGAAGCTCAAGGTCTCAGTGGGACCTGCTCTGTGATTAGTTCCCAGTCTCCCCTAGCCCACATCTCTGCTCTTAGCCTGATGTCACCTTTGCCGTGCAAGAAATAAAATAAGGAAATAAGGAGGGATAAGGATAGGAAATAAAAAACTAAAGTAGAAAGTAAATTTGGTCCATCCCTTGGTCTGGAAACGATTTTCCCCCCCTGTGCTCTCTCACATGTCTCACAAGGCAGGTCGAAGCTTCCTTACAGGTGTGCCTGAAATGAATCCCAGGGTGCCCAACCCCGTTTTAGCTGACCTTTAGTTAAAGGTTGTCCCCATGGGCTGCCCCGGCTCCCACAGCCCTCGAGAGGAGCTGCTTCAACGGAGTGTCATGGGGCTTGAAAGGGCCTCCCCCCTCCATCCCTCCCTGCTATTCCCTGGCCGAAGGAGGGGGGGTCAGAGCATGGGCAAGCGAGCCCCTTCCCACTGGGGCAGCAGCATCCCTGAACTAATTAATTGATGGTGGTATTCCCTAAAATAGCCCCCAAAGTTTGGAGTAGTGGGACTGATCCAGCCCAGGCACGGGCAGCTGGAGCTGGCAGCCGGCTCGGTGCTGCCTGTTGAGACATCACGTCCCCACCTGCCTCCTGGCCTCTGGACCTGCTCGGGGAGTTTTCCGACTGAATTAATATTCAAAGGAGCATCCTTCCTTGCCAAAATCCCAGCAGCAAACCTCCCACCCACGGGCTGCCGCAGGGTGCTGGGACACCCTCTCCTCCTGCGCCTTCCTAGTCTCCCCAGATTGCCATCCTCATCTCGGAGCTTGATTTTATTTTCCCTTTTTAATTACCCATCGCAATCTCTCCTGGCAGCTTCTTGATGAGCCCCAGGTAATTGTTTTGGTCCTTTTTTTTTTTTTTTCCTCCCCTCTATTTTCCTTGATGCTTTGCAATGTCAGAGCCTTGTATTTCCATAAGCTGGCACGCTTCTCCCCGGTAGACCATCCGCAGGGCAGCAGCACTGGCAAGGTGCAGGCAGCGAAGCCAGCAGCTGCCTTGCTTATGTTTCCCGGCTTCAACCAGCCACCTTCAGTAATTAATTAATTCAGCTTTAATCAGCCAGCGTGGTGAGCTCGTCCTGCCGGCACATAAGCTTCCGAGTCGGCAGAGCTTTGGGAAAACACAGGGCGGGAGGAGGTGTCACGTCTGTGGGATGTCACACGTCCCCTCTCCTCCTCCCCATGCTGGCAACCCTCATGGGTTTGGGTGTTGATACCCCATGGCCAGTTGCTGACAGCTTTGCCAGCCGGGCGGAAATCCCAGGGACACTAAATTCTCTCTCCCCCCATGCTCCCTCGGGTGGCCGGGAGTGAGAAGGGGTCCAGGACCCCCCAAAACCCCCAGCAAAAGGACAGCAGAGGCAGCATGGGCTCGCTGAAGCCCTTGTCTCTAGGAGATCTGGTAGCAGAGATCTTCATCTGAACATTTTTCTTCTAAAAGCTCTCAGGTTTTGGGGGCAGCGTGTCCCAGGACAAGCTAGGACCCATCCTAGCTACCACCTACTGCCTTCTCCCTGCCCCTTTCTTGGCTTTTTTGCTAAATAAGGGCTTTTTGGCAGGCATTTCTGCTCCCCCATC